ACTCTGTAGCACGGTGGGCTCCGTTATGAATGATCAAGCCAGTCAGGGCGGCGTCCCCCGCTGAATGGCAATGAGGCAGTTGGGTTATGAGGAGTGCGTCTAGCGTAGCGGGTCCCCCTTAACGGAGTGTGTGGCCACACCCGGCCCGTGGCCCTGACCCACACACGCACACACACACGCAGCTGCTGGAGGGGAGCGGAGGGCACTCCTAGTTCCTGTGGAGGACTCCCTTCTCCGGGTCACTGACCCGTGACCCGCCTGCGGCACTTAAAGGTATACATTTTGACCCCGTAGAGTGAGTTGATGGTGGCACTCAACTGTATGTGAGCACTCAACTGTGAGTGAGAAGAATTGATGGTGGCACTCAACTGTGAGTGAGAAGAGTGAGGGGTGGCACTCACCTTGTGACATCCCTGTCTAATAGTAAGACAAGACGCTGGCTTGTTAACCCTGTACCCAGACACAGCTGGCACTTAACTCTCCCAAGCCAACACTTTATCACATAATATTAACATTAACCAATGCCTTAATTTATGTTATCTCGAGTGGGTGTATACAGTGGTGGAATCATTTAAGAACACTATCTACTTTTAACAAATAGAATTCAATTTGTTTGAATTTTTAATTCAAACAGATTCTGCATCTCCGATGTTCTGTTGTTGTTCCATCCCGAGTCTCCATGGGAATTAGTATCCAAGACGAATTCTTGCTATTACTGAAGATATCCACAAGGGCCGTGATGAGGGTTCGAACCGACGTCCGGGATGACCCCAGACGCGCCTTAATCTTTCTGATTGTCTCCCGCGGCCATCACCCACCACCTCATCCCTAATGAGTGGGATTGTCAGCTGGAACTTCATTGTACCAGCGTACAGATTCACTGATTTGTTCTTCTATCCTCCCTTCCTCAGTTACCTGATCACGGTGATGTTGCCTGATGAATATCTTTAACTTGAAGAACAGTTTTGGGTTTGAAGTAGACAATATGGTCTCCTTCAGCGCCCTCGGTAGCCGGTATATCTGATCGTTCATTTCCAGATTCCAAGGTGAGAGGGATTCCACACAAACCTGATCACCCTTCCCTGATTGTCAAGTATTTTCACAACATTCTCTTGATTTCAGCGACTGTGGCTGGACGGTAGAGCGACGGTCTCACTTCATACAGGTCGGCGTTCAATCCCTAACCGTCCACAAGCGGTTGGGCACCATTCCTTCCCACCGTCCCATCCCAAATCCTTATCCTGACCCCTTCCCAGTGCTATATAGTCGTAATGACTTGGCGCTTTCCAGTGATAATTCCCTCCCTTCAGTAACTGTCCCTAGGTTTTCTCTCTAATGTTTTTCCTTAAGGTTTAGTAGTGCGACTTTTGAGTGAGTGGAGATCACTGCCTCTTTCATGTGTCTACGTATCTTAATGCCATAACAATGACAATTACCTCTGCGTTGAAAAACCCGTAGTTCTCAATATTGGGGTTTCTCTCCATTTCCTTTCTGATACATTATTCCTATTTACAGTGTACGCTGCTGCTGCTCCAGCCTTGCCGCTAGTAGGATGGTAAGAACCATCAGTGAACATTAGAATTAATTCATTTCCGGCTTCTATACAAATGTTCTTGAGATGCCTTGGCCTCGTCTCTTGTGGTATCATCATCTTGGACTTTTTCGTTGTCATCTCGTTAACTATTGTGTTACCTGGTTCACGCCCCCAGGTGGGTGGTGGCCCTACAGCCTCGTGGGCGTGATCGACCCCATGGTGGACATCGAGGAAGCTAACTGATCCGTGATGCCACTCTTTAATATTCCCGTTTTCCTCCCTTGTAATTACCACATAACTTAGATGTTTTCTCAGCCATATCACTGTAGTACGGGTCTCACTGTAGTACGGGTCTCTGTAGTACGGGTCTCACTGTAGTACGGGTCTCACTGTAGTACGGGTCTCACTGTAGTACGGGTCTCACTGTAGTACGGGTCTCTGTAGTACGGGTCTCACTGTAGTACGGGTCTCACTGTAGTACGGGTCTCACTGTAGTACGGGTCTCACTGTAGTACGGGTCTCACTGTAGTACGGGTCTCACTGTAGTACGGGTCTCACTGTAGTACGGGTCTCTGGCTATTTTCATTGCAAGCTTAGTATTCAGTTCCTTAACTGTTGTGGAGCGTTTCTTGAGAGGATTATAAACGTAAGACTGGTACAGCCTTATAGTTTATGTCAGTCTAGTGTACATATGCTGTGAAACTCATTTGAAATACGGCACGAGAATACCTTGGCCCCTTTCCTGATTCACGTCAAGACTCTTGAGGGCCCTGTCTTGACATGACATGTCTGATTTATATGCCATGATATGCTGATTCATGAGGGCCCTCTGAGTCTTGACATGATATGTGAGTCATGTCAAGACTCCCAGGGGCCCTGAGCCCGCTTTTACATGTCTCTAGGAATTTATAGAGCTTTTTTTATTTCCTCTGCCAGAGCAGATGGTGATTCCCAGGTAGTGATAGTGGTCAACACATTCGAGTGTTTCACCATTTATTTGTAAGTCTTCGTTTTCTCTCCCTCTAGTGACCACATCAACACCCAGGCACCATCAACACCCAGTCACCATCAACACCCAGGCACCATCAACACCCAGGCACCATCCACACACACACACACCATCAACACCCAGGCACCATCAACACCCAGGCACCATCAACACCCAGGCACCATCAACACCCAGGCACCATCAACACACACATACACCATCAACACCCAGGCACCATCCACACACACACACACACCATCAACACCCACATTCGTCTCACAAGACACCTGACATTAACTACTCACAACACACCTCGCACCATCTACACCCAAAAAGTTATATTTTACAAAATTACGACTCTCCTAGAAATACTTTCACAGCTACAAGTCTCCCCACAGAGCTCTTACTAGTAGTTCCTACAGTCCGTCTACTCCCACAGGGAACACAACAGGTCACATACTGCACACCTGCTGCGCTACACACCTTCACACAACTCTGTAATCTATATTCGGCCACATGACCCCTAGAGAAATTCAAACAACTTTCAAGAATATCTTGTCAATAAGTCTAACTCCCACCTACAATAATTAATATATGTATAATAGTTGGAGAAACAATTAATCAATCAGAATTCAGAGACAAACATGATTTTCTCTGAAGACATTCAATATTCCATTCGCTAGAGGCTTCGGCAGCCCTCAACTATATCCCTCTATATATAAATCATTTCAAGACATATTTAAAGGTTGTGTAACATGACTTACCATGATGTCCTGGTTGAGAGATAGGCAGGTACAAATGTCCTTGTAAGCAGTCATGTACAGCAGGTATGGCAGACAGTGGGGACAGGTAAGGGCAAGAGGCAGCTGGAGGTGTGTGTGAGAGAGCGTGTCATCTCTAGGAGCGCTCTCTGCTCTCTCCTCTTGGTCCAAGAGGGATAGTTTAGGAGAAGGAAGAGGTGGGGTAAGACGGTGGCTTGTGGCTAAGCTGGTGTCACAAGTTATGTCTAGCTGGTGTCACAAGTTATGTCTAGCTGGTGTCACAAGTTATGTCTAGCTGTTGTCACACGTCATGTTCACCTGTTGCTTTGTCTGTCTGTCATGTCTTTCTGTCTCTTAGACCATTCACCACGTCTCTAGGAAAGTAAAATCTTCAGTTGCCTCAAAGATTTCAGTCAATAAATTTCAACGTAAAAAAGTCACAGTATGTAAATTAACCTTGTCAGTTGTGCTCTCACCCAAATATACTTTACTTAAACGTCATAAGATGAAATGAATAAGTTCAAAGCTACAAGTCTCCCCACAGAGCTCTTACTAGTAGTTCCTACACTCCGTCTGCTCCCACAGGGAACACAACAGGTCACATACTGCACACCTGCTGCGCTACACGCCTTCACACAACTCTGTAATCTATATTCGGCCACATGACCCCTAGAGAAATTCAAACAACTTTCAAGAATATCTTGTCAATAAGTCTAACTCCCACCTACAATAATTAATATATGTATAATAGTTGGAGAAACAATTAATCAATCAGAATTCAGAGACAAACATGATTTTCTCTGAAGACATTCAATATTCCATTCGCTAGAGGCTTCGGCAGCCCTCAACTATATCCCTCTATATATAAATCATTTCAAGACATATTTAAAGGTTGTGTAACATGACTTACCATGATGTCCTGGTTGAGAGATAGGCAGGTACAAATGTCCTTGTAAGCAGTCATGTACAGCAGGTATGGCAGACAGTGGGGACAGGTAAGGGCAAGAGGCAGCTGGAGGTGTGTGTGAGAGAGCGTGTCATCTCTAGGAGCGCTCTCTGCTCTCTCCTCTTGGTCCAAGAGGGATAGTTTAGGAGAAGGAAGAGGTGGGGTAAGACGGTGGCTTGTGGCTAAGCTGGTGTCACAAGTTATGTCTAGCTGGTGTCACAAGTTATGTCTAGCTGGTGTCACAAGTTATGTCTAGCTGGTGTCACAAGTTATGTCTAGCTGGTGTCACAAGTTTATGGTCTAGCTGTGTTGTCACACGTCATGTTCACCTGTTGCTTTGTCTGTCTGTCATGTCTTTCTGTCTCTTAGACCATTCACCACGTCTCTAGGAAAGTAAAATCTTCAGTTGCCTCAAAGATTTCAGTCAATAAATTTCAACGTAAAAAAGTCACAGTATGTAAATTAACCTTGTCAGTTGTGCTCTCACCCAAATATACTTTACTTAAACGTCATAAGATGAAATGAATAAGTTCAAGTCCAAGAGGCAAAGCGACTGATGTTATGTTGCAGATAATTGACAAAAGTTATCTACAGAGAGAGAGGTGTAAGTCACTGTGATATATATATATAAGCAATCAAGTCGTATAATATTACAGAAATGTCTTTTACGCGTCAAAGAAAGTCTGAAATCATTTACAAAAGCGTTGGAGAGTGTCAAGAGTCCTCTGTGAAAAAAAATCTTTGAGGGGAAAACAAAATGCTGTCACTTACTGGATAGAACGGACGGGGAGATGGACGGGGTGTTGCCCTGGGCGGCCGAGGGCGCCACCATCACCACACTCAACACCCCAAACACCACCACCACCACCACCGTCTGCACCATCTTCATATCTCACCACCACACCGCTCCTCCGCTCCTGGGGTCTGCTTCAACCTCTGGGTCCTCTGGTGATGTCTTGTTTACACTTGTCCTGCAGCTCTCAAGCACACTAAAGCACACACACACTGTGGCTACTGTAATTATAAACAGGACTGCGAGGTGTTTCTAGTCTTTTTTACAGCTTTATAAAGTGGTTTTCTTGGCCTGAAAAATTATTTTATGTTTACTTTTAAGAGCCGAACATTTCTCTGTTTCGAGTTAGAAAACGGACACTCGCGCGAGGGACGAATGGCGTGTCCCTTTGTCAGATTAGGGGGGTGTGGCGTGTCCCTATGTCAGATTAGGGGGGTGTGGCGTGTCCCTATGTCAGATTAGGGGGGTGTGGCGTGTCCCTACGACACACGAGGGAGATACGACGTGGTGAGGACATGCAGCCAGGGGCAGGTGAAAGGCTCACCCCTCAGCCATGGTGCTGAGCAGCGTGTGTTGTGTCTTATATTGCTGTGCTGAGCTCGTGGTGTCCTCAGTCAAGTCTCACGATCTTCCTCCACACCTGCAACACCAGAGTACAATGTATAACTAGCAAACAAGTGCACACATATAAATATATATATATATATATATATATATATATATATATATATATATATTATATATATATATACGAACCATATGAACACAAACGGGAGCCAGACTCTATATAAATAGCGCAGCGGTGAACCTAGCGAATGTCGATTCCTTCACCAGCCACCAGTTGAGGCAACGACCAGACAACAGCCAGGTGACAGACAACAGCCAGGTGACAGACAACAGGTGACAGGACAGCCAGGTGACATACAACAGGTGACAACAACAGCCAGGTGACAGACAACAGCCAGGTGACAGACAACAGGTGACAGACAACAGCCAGGTGACAGACAACAGGTGACAGACAACAGCCAGGTGACAGACAACAGGTGACAGACAACAGCCAGGTGACAGACAACAGGTGACAGACAACAGCCAGGTGACAGACAACAGGTGACAGACAACAGCCATACAACAGGTGACAAACAACAGCCAGGTGACAGACAACAGCCAGGTGACAGACAACAGGTGACAGACATCAGCCAGGTGACAGACAACAGGTGACAGACAACAGCCAGGTGACAGACAACAGCCAGGTGACAGACAACAGCCAGGTGACAGACAACAGGTGACAGACAACAGCTAGGTGACAGACAACAGGTGACAGACAACAGCCAGGTGACAGACAACAGGTGACAGACAACAGCCAGGTGACAGACAACAGGTGACAGACAACAGCCAGGTAACAGACAACAGGTGACAGACAACAGCCAGGTGACAGACAACAGGTGACAGACAACAGCCAGGTGACAGACAACAGGTGACAGACAACAGCCAGGTGACAGACAACAGGTGACAGACAACAGCCAGGTGACAGACAACAGGTGACAGACAACAGCCAGGTGACAGACAACAGCCAGGTGACAGACAACAGGTGACAGACAACAGCCAGGTGACAGACAACAGGTGACAGACAACAGCCAGGTGACAGACAACAGGTGACAGACAACAGCCAGGTGACAGACAACAGGTGACAGACAACAGCCAGGTGACAGACAACAGGTGACAGACAACAGCCAGGTGACAGACAACAGGTGACAGACAACAGCCAGGTGACAGACAACAGGTGACAGACAACAGCCAGGTGACAGACAACAGGTGACAGACAACAGCCAGGTGACAGACAACAGGTGACAGACAACAGCCAGGTGACAGACAACAGGTGACAGACATCAGCCAGGTGACAGACAACAGCCAGGTGACATACAACAGGTGACAAACAACAGCCAGGTGACAGACAACAGCCAGGTGACAGACAACAGCCAGGTGACATACAACAGCCAGGTGACATACAACAGCCAGGCGAGACACAACAGCCAGGTAAGACAACCAGGTAACCACAAACAGCAACAACCACAACCACTTGTCCTCCAGCAGGAAAATTTAGGTCATGGAGCTGCAAGAAAGTAGTTACGAGTTAAGAACCTGGAGCCGAGCGCTTGCCTCCCGGAACCCTGACGGCAGCTGCAACATCCCGCCACCTAGACCCTCTACATTGTTTACATTGCAATAAATCAACATAACCAAACAAACTCTTCATACTAGTATAACAATACTAATCAAATCAGCATCCAAGTCACCTCAGGGATGATAGCTAACTTGAACCATGTAATTAGAAATGAAATATTATAACCGTGGTCCATGGCCCTGAGAACCGTGCCCAGGACCTGACAACCGTGGCCAGGACCTGACAACCGTGCCCAGGACCTGAGAACCGTGGCCAGGACCTGATAACCGTGGCCAGGACCTGATAACCGTGGCCAGGACCTGACAACCGTGCCCAGGACCTGACAACCGTGGCCAGGACCTGACAACCGTGCCCAGGACCTGATAACCGTGCCCAGGACCTGACAACCGTGGCCAGGACCTGACAACCGTGCCCAGGACCTGATAACCGTGCCCAGGACCTGATAACCGTGCCCAGGACCTGACAACCGTGGCCAGGACCTGACAACCGTGCCCAGGACCTGATAACCGTGGCCAGAGATTCTACACAACTCCATCCAGCTGCGTGCTGACAACCAAGGAAGCCGCGCACGTCTGACGTGTTAGGACGAATGGACGGTCGCGGAGGACGGACACAAGCGGGAGGCTCCGGGGCGACTCGTCCAGGAGAATATCCCCGCCTCGGCCACGGCGACGACACGTCAGCGGAGGTGGGGGGGGGGGAAATAGCCGACAAAGAGAACGTAGAAAAAGCGGAAGGCAGTGACCGCGAAGCTCCTCCACCATCTCGTGCTCTGGCTAGTTCCTTTCACGGCCGGCTGGTCACTTCTGAGTGTTGGACCTGGCTTGTTAACCCGGCCGGCTGGTCACTTCTGAGTGTTGGACCTGGCTTGTTAACACGGCCGGCTGGTCACTTCTGAGTGTTGGACCTGGCTTGTTAACACGGCCGGCTGGTCACTTCTGAGTGTTGGACCTGGCTTGTTAACCCGTTAACACAGCCGGCTGGTCACTTCTGAGTGTTGGACCTGGCTTGTTAACACGGCCGGCTTCTGAGTGTTGACCTGGCTTGTTAACACGGCCGGCTGGTCACTTCTGAGTGTTGGACCTGGCTTGTTAACACGGCCGGGTCTTCTGAGTGTTGGACCTGGCTTGTTAACACGGCCGGCTGGTCACTTCTGAGTGTTGGACCTGGCTTGTTAACACGGCCGGCTGGTCACTTCTGAGTGTTGGACCTGGCTTGTTAACACAGCCGGCTGGTCACTTCTGAGTGTTGGACCTGGCTTGTTAACCCGGCCGGCTGGTCACTTCTGAGTGTTGGACCTGGCTTGTTAACACGGCCGGCTGGTCACTTCTGAGTGTTGGACCTGGCTTGTTAACACGGCCGGCTGGTCACTTCTGAGTGTTGGACCTGGCTTGTTAACCCGGCCGGCTGGTCACTTCTGAGTGTTGGACCTGGCTTGTTAACCCGGCCGGCTGGTCACTTCTGAGTGTTGGACCTGGCTTGTTAACACGGCCGGCTGGTCACTTCTGAGTGTTGGACCTGGCTTGTTGGACCTACTACTGATCAGCTGAAGGAACAAATGATAACGTTCTGATAAAAGAACAAAACAATTCAATATCTGAGATGTACTTTGTCTCCATCTTCATATTTATGTAATTTAGTCTTGCCAGTCGCTTTCTTTCTCTCTTTTATTTTATTGATGTATTTGACACTTGTTAAAGTAACAACTTGGTGAATACAATGAATAACTTATATTACATAAGTATATTATATTGAATGGGCTTATATTGTAAGTATTATATTGAATGGTTAAAAGTTGTAAATGTTTTGGAGCTCCTCGGCTTCCGGACAAGAACGGAGGATACAGCAGGCGTTCCCACTCTGGATCGCCACACACGGACGCTGAAAAAGGAGTCTACCAGCCCGTAGGTCTTTGGTAGATTCAATGTGCATTGAACCCAATTCTTTGAGACTGCTCATGGCACCCTTGCTCCTGAGCCAAGGGTCTCAGATGCTACAGGGAGAAATGAGAAGCGATATCTCAGTTGCTTCTATGTGTTTTGACTTCATCCCTATGGTTGGGTGCACCTCATACCTGACCAACGCTGACGGGGTGATAGCTGTCAGCCAGGGTGGATACACACCAGTAGTCCCACACCTGCTGTTTACTATTCTTCTGCGGGTATATGTTGATACCATCTGGGTGAAGCGAAACTATCAGGGGTTTCTGACCAAAAAAAAAACATTGAGTTGTTTTTCTGCTGGGCACAAGGCTGTGAAAAGGCTCCTTTCATCACACCTTCACTTTGTCTTGCACGCCACTCCCTTGGAGCATCTGCAGGTGCAGAACATGCAAGCCATACTGTTGGCTTCCACTTTCTTGCATATACACTTGCACTCATAGTGTGAACTGGGGCACCAAGGCCCAGGCCATTGCAATATGGAGAGTCTCTGAGTCTAGATGTGTGCATTGTGCAGACGTATGTACTGCCCCTGCTTGAGGGGCATCCACGGCGCCAAGGCTGATCATCTTGGCTCATCATCCACGGCGCCAAGGCTGATCATCTTGGCTCATCATCCACGGCGCCAAGGCTGATCATCTTGGCTCATCATCCACGGCGCCAAGGCTGATCATCTTGGCTCATCATCCACGGCGCCAAGGCTGATCATCTTGGCTCATCATCCACGGCGCCAAGGCTGATCATCTTGGCTCATCATCCACGGCGCCAAGGCTGATCATCTTGGCTCATCATCCACGGCTCCAAGGCGGATTATTTTCTAATCTAATGTTGCAGCACATAACAAGACCTCAGTTATTCTCTCCACCACTGAGCTATTTCAGCTAGACTGTTTATTGATGTTGGGGCTGGTGTGGGTGCTGGGGCAGCAAGAGCACCCCACTCATAAGAACTTTTAATGAAGTTCCTGCAGGACAATGTTTACTTCTTCAGTAACGAGAGAGAGAGAGAGTTGGAGACCATTTCACACCTGGACACATAAAGAATGAGACTTAGATTTGCTCTCTGGATATTGATTATGTCCTCCCTAAGGGGTATCTAACGTACTGGTAAGAGTGGCATCATCCAGGAACCAGATGTTTAGCTCTTGTCACACGACCAGTGACCTCTTTGATGGCTAAGGAGAGGCTAAGATGCCACCCGGTTGAACACCTTCACACGAGACTTTCATGTTACCAAAAGAGAAGCTTTGAGTTCCCACTGTAATATGACTGAATGGACGTATAAAGAGGAGATAAATAGCTACGAATAGCTCGAAGAATAACATCTCTTTTGACTGAAAGGCATTTTTAAAATCAAGCTTAACCAGTATCATGTGATCTGTGAAATTAGTAATGTTTGCCATCACGAGAACACCTAAGGTTCTCATAATCCACACCGGCGCGTGTGCTGCAGCTTATCAGCCTAGTCCTAGAGGGCAGCCCAAGGTGATTAGGCTTTAGCATGGTGGCTGTTAGATAC